ACAGCCCTGAGATCCCCCAGGGGCTCCGGGACCAGGCTCATGGTCCTGCAAACAGAGGCCAGGCTGGGGTAGGAGCTGCCAGGCTGTCCCCTTGCCCAGCACCCCCAGAAGCCTACAGCCCTCCTGCCTCTGTTCTTGGCAGTGCCAGGCAGAACCAGCTGGGCCACTGAGATCCAGAAGAAGAGGGCAGCCTGCAGAGCCATTAAGGACCCCAGGCCATGGACATCTGCTTGCCAGTGCTTCCAGGATGGTGGAGTGTGCCCTCTGCCAAAGGATGCTCTGCTGGGCTGTGGCTGGGGGCACCTGTCCCTGCCAGGGGATCATGAGACTCCAGGCCTGCTGGCCTCTGCCTCCTGGTATCCTCAGGCTGCTCTCTGCCCAGCTCCATGCCGTGTCCAGAGCCAGCTTCCTGGGGGGGGGGCTCCAGGCCGCATAGCCCTACATGTCCCTCCCTGGGCAGCTGTGCCAAGTGTGGCCTCGTGTTCAAGGAGTCATTCAAGGGCCTGTGTTTTACTCACATCAGCATCCCTTCTTCTGGAAATGACCTTTGAACATAGTAAGTGCCCAGGAAATAAATGGACTGTTGGAGAAGGTGAAATGGAAAATACTGTATCTAGACTGGGGCAATCGAGTTATGTGTGAGTTTTTGAGTAAAAACTCTGTTGATCATTTTAGGTTCCACGCGTAGGTGGGGGAAACCTCATGGGGACCCCATGAATGGCTTCTCCCCAGTCTTCTGTGACTGACCTCCCCACACTGCTACCCGATCCCTCTTTTTGGTCCACTGTACTGGAGACCAAATTGGGAAGCATCATCTATCTTACCTGAAGGCCTTGCTGTTTTAGTCTGGAAACCTGAGGAGAAGTCATAAATAGGTTTCTCGATGACAATGTAAGCTTAATTTTTCATTTACCTGCAGCTAATAATGGATGGGCAGGCCTCTCTGGCTTCCAGAAGCCAAAAGGAAGAGAAAGGGCTTCCCAGTGACAGGATAATTTGTCAGAAAGTTATGAGTGCATCCAGCAGGGCTGTATAGGAAGTGTATATTGAACAATATGACACACCGGCTCCTAATTGCTGCTGTCTTTCTGATCAATAATACATGTTTTCAAAAAGCCTTCTGTTTGCATTTACACAATGGACTGTAACTACTGCAAAGGATCCATTAAGACCTATTTTAAAAAGTGCATTCGTAAAAAGTTGTCTAAATCTGCATTACAAGGCAGATTATGAAGCTGCCTTGGGAGCTGTTTTTTCCTGAGAGGTGTTCAGGCCACATCTGCCAACCTGGCCTGCAACTGAGCTCCTGGCTCTAGGCTGGTGCAGAGGCACTGGTAGGCCAGGGCCTCCACTGTGACCCATGGGCCTGGGGACACGGTGTGCGTAGAGCCCAGGACACTCACTCCCACGTGTGTGACTTCAAGGTCTCTAGGAGGTCTGTTGCTGCAGACAGCTCTGGGGTCCTGGGGCTCTCTACCCCAGCAGGGCTCGAGTTGGGGCCGTTAGTTGTGGCCACCAGGCTTGCGTTTCACACACAGGTGCAAGTTTTTACCTGGGCAGGTGGGAAGCCCAGAGAAGAGGGAACTGGGTGGATAGGGATTAGGGCCACCTGGCCTTCTGTGCTGCCCTAGCAACGTCCTCCAGCTTCAGCCCGCACAGCTGCCAGGTGAACAGTACTAACAAGGGTGGCCCTGCCTGGGGCTCTGTGAGGACTGGCCAGCTTGGCCTCAGGCAACCCAGGGAGGAGAAACTTGCCTTCCCACAGAGGCCCCAAAGCAGGAAACTTCCCCAGGCCACCACCCCACATTGTGCCCCTGCTGGCCACCCCCAGGGAGCCTAGGTGGAGAGTCTAGAGATCAGTCTGCTGACCCCATCCCCTCCAGTCACCCTGCACTGTCCCCACAGTGCAGAGTGGGAAAACAGGCCGCAGAAGCAACCTCAACAGACCAGATTCCTCCTAGAGAGCGGGGCAGGAGGAAGAGGAGTTCAGAGGAGAACCCTGGCTCAACAGGGACACATGAAGGGCAGTGGGGCAGAGAGAGGACAGGGAGGATGTGGCAGCTCTCCCCAGCCTCCAGGCTCTGCAGGGACAGGACATGCTGGGCTGTTTTGACTGGGGAGTCGGGGCTGCCCAGGCACCACGTCAATCAGCTCTCCTAAAATAAACAACGCAGAATGGCTTAGTTGGGCTTGAGGTTGCAGAGGGTTCAGGGTGAGGGGGACACACCATGGTGGAAGGGTATCTCGAAGCAAAGCTGCATCCCCAGATCAGCCCAGATGCAGAGAGAGGAAGGGCTACGGACCACACAGGATCCCAAGGTCACACCCCCATGATCCACTTCCCTGAATGCGGCCCCACTTCCCAGGAATGGCATTCCTCAGCGAACGGGCTCCCTGATGTGGTCAGAGGCCAATCATCCAGGCATGTTCCAAAGCCCCACCTGAGCTCTCCAGCTTTGGGGACACCATAGCTCCCAACCCTAACAGGCCCAGCCACATCAGGGCCCAGACAGGTGCAAGTGGGGGTCAGCAGGCCAGCCTCCAGGCCACCCCACCACACACACCTGAGAGCCTGAAGGGGCCCGTATTCTAATGAGGAGGGTCTGTTTGTACATTTGACCTTTGACAAGGGTTATCCTCCAGGCCGGGGACAGGGCAGGGGGGGTGGCTGTGGCTTTCTCCTTGCAGCTGCTCCGGAAGAGGGTCATCAGTATGACCAGGAACAACAGACCTGACCCACCTCAGCACCCCAAGGAAGGGAAACTGAGGCATCAGGCAGTTTGCTAACTCAGCATCTATGCTTCCAGCAGAGTCACACTGCCCGCAGGAAGGACTGGTGCCCTGTCCACACCTCTCTGGGGTGGCCTCAACCACCAGTTCCTGATCACTGCCCAGCCTCCAGTGCCCCCAGGCTGGGCTGTGCTCTGGGATCTGTGACCACTCCCTGCACAATGAGCAACCAGGGTTCCTATTCCTGCCCTGGCCATCTTGGTGCCTCTGAACATTCATACCAGCTGGGCTATGGTCCAGCACACAGGCCCTGCCTCCCCTCAGCAGCTCCTCCCCACCACAAGTCTGCACAGGGCAAGTGGCCATGCAGAGCCAAACCTACAACCTCCCTTCCCGTGTTGTGTTTTGGGGCTGGATGCAGAGTCCCAATAGGTGGCCTTCACACTCCATCTTGCGTCAGGAAACCCTGTGAGCTGCTCACCACTGACCTTCACAGCTGCCACAGGAGGACACGAGCTAGTCTCCACGTGGCAGATGACAAACCCGAGGCTCAGAGGTGAAGTGATTTGTGCAGTCATACAATTCCAAGTGGCAGAATCCAAGCTTAGCAGAAGCCTGAGGAGCTTCCTCTCCACAGATGTGGTTCAGGGACGGGGCAAGGGCTCCTGGTCAGTGCTCACCTTGTGTGCACCAGGCACTGGGTTTCATCCCCAGCACTGCATAATCAAGAAGCGGAACAATGTATATTCGCTCTGCCTGGGCTGAGATGTGGCCTCTCCCTCTCAATGTTTTCCTCTTCCTCTGAGAGACAGAAGTGTATAGCTGGGGAAACTGAGGCTCCAGTGATCTGTTCCTGGGAAGAAAGCATGGAGGTGGGTCTCCAGCAGTGCAGGTGCCCATAGCTTCATCCTAGCACAGGAAGGTCTGGCATGGTACCCACTTCTGGGCCAAGTGAGGAAGCTCCCTCTTGCCTCCAAGGTTCTGGTCCTCCTCCCTGAGGCCCCAGGCCAGCAGGTCCGATGCTCCCTAGGCCTTTGGCTTGGTGCCTCACCCTCTGGGTAGTTCCCTGGGCATCCACGGGAGTGGGAACGTGCATGGAAGCACACGCATCCCTACGTGTGAGCAATGCCTGTGTGTACATGTATGTGCACAGAGGAGACCCCCAGGCCTCTAATGGAGAGGGCAAAGACCACACCATGGCACAGGAAGACCCAGGGGTGGAAAAGCCTAGCCAGGCTTCACCCTATCCAGGGTCAGCCCTGGAGCACATTGCAGCCAGAGTCCCAGCCCCCTGCCTGGGGTGCTCCCTGGGCACAGGCTGAGGGTTTGGCCAGCAGTCCATGCCTCTAAACCACTGGAGGGATGCCATGGCCAGTTCCAGCTCCCACGGGTGGACAGCAGGCAGAACAGGGTCCAGGGTCCAGGATGGTGGCTGTCATGGCTGGCAGGCCTGTGGCCCAGCCCCCGACCGTAGGCAGAGGAATGGACATCTCAGCTGGGCTGGACCCAAGCCTGCTCTCCTAGCAGCCCCTCCTCCCCAGTGACTTCACTTTGACTTCATCTCTGCAGAGCAATACGATGTGAGCCATGAGATGTGAGCCGTGCCTACTCAGCCAGCCCAGGGGAAGGCGGGGCAGCGGGGAAAGGGTTGCCTGCACCCCAGCCCTGGGCCTCCCCCGCCCCTGCGCCCAGCTGGCCGGCCGGGCCTCTAAGGGCAATCCTGGAGTTCCCCAAAGCCGGCCTCACCCACACATGCCGGGTAGGCTCAAGGATCTATCTGCGGGACGCACTTACAGGCATCGTTTCTTTGGGGGAACTTCGGCAGCCCCAGCCTAAGGACCTCTTTAGGCCACCGCTCCTGCTGTGGAGAAGTGCGCCCAGTGGGGTTCATAGTCCAGCCAGGGGATCCCGCCCCATCCCCCTCGCACCCTGGAACTTTGGACCACACCTCTCCGCCCTCCGGAGAAACCGTGGGAGTTGCGCCCCATTCCCGGTGGGTTGGGGGACCTCGTCTCTGGGTCCCTTTTCACGCGCGGCAGGAAAGGGCGAGCGGGGACCGCTGGCTGGGGACGGAGCGAGAAGGCAGCTGTGCGCGGGAGCGCGGCCTGGCTGCACCAGACCCCGACTGCGGAAGGACTGGGGCCCCCACGCCCTGCCGGGGACCCCGCGCCCCTCACACACCCCAAGCCGGGTCCTGCCCCGCAGCCCGCCCCGCCCCGCAGCAGGGCCCCGCCCCGCCCCGCCCCGCCCCGCCCCGCCCGCTCCTGCGGCGCAGCCCGCTGGTCTCAGTCCCGAGGCGCAGCGGTGAGCGCCCGGGTCCAGCGCGGAGTGCAGTGCGGGGAAGTCCGGGCCGCCGCAACCCACATCCCGTACCTGGAGCCCGCACCCCACGCCCCGCACCTGGACCCTGCACTCCGCACCCCGTGCCTGGCATGGGCTGCTCCGCCTGAGCGTCTCTCCAGACCCGCGTCCCCGAGGCGATGGCGAAGGCGACGTCCGGCGCCGTGGGGCTGTGGCTCTTGCTGCTGCTGCCACTGCTCGGCGAAGGTGAGTCCTGGGGCGCCGGATGCGGGGTGCAGGACCCGCGGGGGGGCGCAGGCGTGGCGCGCTGACAAAGGGGGCGCACGGACCGCGAGGGGCGCGCGGCCCGCGCCGGTTCGCCTGCGCTGTGAGTGGCCTCCGCAGCCCCGCTTTCCCGTGGCTCACGTCTCCTCGCTCCTCAAACGAGGTGGCTTTGCTGCCTGGTCTTGCTTGGTCCAACAGCTATGGTTCCCGGGACGCTTGGACTGAGCACCCCCAGCCTGTACCCTTGGGCGGCCCAGGGCTCCAGATCTGCGAGAACACGGGAAGGTGCAGGCCGTCGTGTCTCGCGCGCTGGTTCGTTATGAGATGGGGCTCAGCTGCGCGCCAAGAGGCACCCCCAGCACTCTAGGGTGACCCTGCCTAGAGCATCGGCCCCGGTCCTAACCTGAACCCCATCCCCAGTCGGACAGGACACACCGAGTTTCTGGGAGAGGGAAGGACCCTTCACTACTGCTTCTCACAAAAGGGCGTTGTTCCGCACTCCTGGGAAGAAAAGACCACAGTTCCTGCCTGCCCTGTGCTGCCCACCACCTGGCAGGGAGGGAGCCCGAGAGGTGCTGCGCAGAGGCACAGGCACAGGCGAGGACTGTTCTTCCTGTGGGATGGAATGGAGACTCCTGCGTTTGGCTCTCAGTTGCACAATGCCCAAGCCAGCAGGCAGCAGGCTGGGCACAGGGCAGAAGCCAGGAGAAGTCCCCACCTGTGACTCTGTCCAGCCTGACCACTGTGGGCCTATGGCCAGTGTGACTCAGAGGCCGTGCTGGTGTGTCCGCCACACACACTCCAGCTTCGGGCTCAGCGTGCCTGGTGAGGCCGTGAGTGCTAGGCTGGGGGCTTGGAGCACACTTGCAGAAATGCAGGTTGCTTTCCGTGGAGACCCCTGACCACAGAGTTCGGGCCAAAGACAGCCTCCCCGTCCAGGGAACGTGGGCCCCTTCCCCTGGGAGAACCAAGACGCTTCTATCAGAGGCACTGGGCATGGAGTGATGGCCCCAGGAGGGGATGGCAGGGCCGTGATGGGGCATGGGGCTCTGTAGCAGGATAGGAGTTTGGCTGTCTCAGAGCTGAGCCAAGGCAAGGCTCCCACAGTACAAGAACGGAACAGCTGGGCCTCCCGCGCCCTCTGGTGGAGGCAGTTATTCCGATGGCCTCGTTGTCCAGGGCACTGCTAGCGTCCGAAAGGGAGGGTCTCCCTCAGCTCTGCTCACACACTCGTGCCGGGCACACCAGGGCTGTGTCCTTCCCCTTCCTCGGGAAGATATGCTCAAGCCCATGGACGCCCTGTCCACCCTAACCCCCACCCAAGGGCCAGGCCCCTCTGCTCATCCCAACCCACACACCCTGCCCCTCGCCCACATTCTTCCGCACTGCCCCAGTGGCCTGGAACCAGGGGACCTTACCTGAGAGTGACATGTGCCTAGGCACAGCTCCCCAGGTGGTCCCTTCAGAGTGGGACAGGGGCTATGGAGCTCCTCACTCCCGGCCACACAGGTGCACGCACACACCCATGCACACGTTCACACACACACACACACACACGCACACACATGCACGCGCTCATACACACAAGATCCTGCCTGTGCCTTGCCCCTCCCCTGGGCAGGGCCTGCACACAGCAGCACGGGGCAGCTGAGCCAATGCTTAGGGGCCCCATTGCTAAATTGCCTTTATTCTGCAGAATTGCTTTAGGGCCAGGCTAAGTAAATCACTATTTCCTCGGTGGTGGGAAGAAAACGGGATACTTTCACCTAATGGGGCACTAATGGCCTCTTAGTTGAGGGAGGAGAAAAGTAATTAAAAATTACAGTGTATGTTGGAAACGGATCTGGGGTCCTGAGGGTGGAGCTGGAAGCTGTGGCTCCCCAGGAGCCTTCTCCCTCTTCAGCCTGACCGAGAACCTTGCCTCCCCTGTCTTAGGACTTGGATACAGCCATGCCACCCTCAGGCCCACGGCAGGTGGCTCTAGGCCGGTTGATCTTCCCACCAGCTCCGTGAGGGCCTTGGTCTCATTTTCACATCTCACAGACTGGAGACTGAGGGCTCCATGAGCCTGTGGACTCCAGGGCTGGGGAGATGCCCAGGGAGGGACATGGCCTGGAGCCTGACCACCTGCGGGCCCAGACCTTCCCGGGTCTGGAGGAAGCCGTGATGCTGGGCTACACCCAGGCGGGAGCCCCTGTGTATCTGTGGATGACTCCTGGACAGGCACTTGTGTGCGGAGCGTGGCAGGAGGGCGTACCCATGCTGCCTTGTGCCGGTGACTGCCCGGCACCGGACATCTGACTGTAGAACCCGTGGGGAAGAAGTGGACAGGCAGCGCTTCCTTCCCTCCTTCCTGCAGCCGTGTGGGCACTGTGGGGTCCTGGGGCGGGGCTGTGGCCTGTCCTGTCTGGCTGGGTCCACACTCAGGCTTCTCCGCATCCTATGCCCTCCGCTCCTCACCTCCTTCCCTCTTTTGCAGTTGTTCATCTGTGTGAGGGGCTAGATGTGCCACAAACACCTGGGAAGGGTGTGTTCACCCCAGCAGGTGACCCTCACCTGTGCGGGATGTGTGTGATTCGGACAGGGTGCGTACGATAGGCCACAGGTGGGCTCTGGGTGGGAGTGGGTGCCGGGAGCCAGGTAGGGAGCACCTGGCAGGTGAGGACAGGGGATACCTGTCCCCTGGGTCTGCAGGGTTGCTGGTGTGGGCTGGGGGTGCTTGGACCCCAGAGTGTGGAGTGTGGGGCCTGAACTGCTGCTGCTGCCCTGGGCGCTGAGCCCTTGGGGCAGGAAAAGAGGTGCCAGGCTGGGTATTGAGGCCAGGCTCACCTCTCCTTCCTGCCAAGACCCCCAACCTGGCCCACACGTGTGGGCAACCCTCCTCCCCCTCCTCCCCTGCCTGGCGGGCCAGGCCTCTGAACCCTAATCCCCTGAGGCTGAGCTGTCCTGGGGGCCCTGGGTAAGCTAGGCAGGAAGACAGGAGTGCTCTTATCCCAGGAGCCCCTTCCAGCCAGAACCAGTGCCCTTGCTGCCTGGTGTGGAAGTGACACTGGGTGGCAGTCAGGGAACTCACACCACCCAGGGCCCTGAGGAGAGCAGGTGACTGGCCCTGACCACACACTGTGTGTGCTCTTGCTGTGTGGGTGGCTCTGCAGGGCAGCGGCCCGGGTACTGCATACAGGTCACCTGTGGTCCTGCACAGGTGTGCACCACCTAGGGCCACCTGCAGGCTTCTCATGCAATGCCAGGGAGACCCACAGGCCTGGGGTCTGTGCAGGCGGGGACATGGAGGCTACTGATGGATCTGCACAGCCTGGGCTTCAGGGATGTGTCTGGGGGTGGTATGGCCCCAGAGCAGGAGGTAGGGGAGGGAGGCTAGACACTGTTCAGCCTCCACCTCAGGAGGCTGAGGCAGGAGGATGCCAGGTTTGAGCATAGCCCGGGCAGAGTAGTAAGATCCTGTCTCAAAGTAAATTGAAGTGGAAAAGGGCTGGGATGCAGTTCCGTGGTAGAGCACCTGCCTGACGGGTGCAAGGCTGTGTTCTCTCCCCAGTGCTATTAAAGAAGAAACAGCCACACCTTCCGCAGGTGCCTCTGTAATTCCAGAAATTCTCACCTTGAGTTCCATACAGGGAAGGAAAAAACGTGAAATTAGTAATGACCTGGAAAGTGCTGGGAAAGAGGGACAGGTCGGAGCCAGGACCTGAGGGTGGGCTGATTGGAGCACACAGAGTGGGCATAGGGGCACAGGACACAGGGATGTTGGGCAGGACATGGTGAGTGTTCAGAAGTGTGCTGTGCTTGCTCCCTGGGCCTCCTGGGTGCCTCTGCCCACCTCTGCCAGAGTTCTGGTCAGCATAGCAGCTGGGGGCAGGGACTTGATTACAATTCATTACAGCTTTTTAAATTCACATAACAGCATCCCTTCCCCCTTGTCCCAACTCATCCTCCTGCCCTGGATTTGCCTGCTGGGATCCTCCTCTAACTCCACCATGGTCTGGTTTCTCTGGCTGGCCACGCTCACACAGTGTTTTCCTCCACTTTGTCGCAGTGCCAGGGTGTGACTCCTTTTTAAGAATGAATAATACTCCTGTCTGGGGACCTACAGCCCTAGGTATCAGTTTTGATGTTTTCCACCCCTTCGCCATAAACAATGTTGCTATAACAGTTGTGTACAAGGCCATTTCCAACTGTCGTGGGGTCTCTAAGGTATATAAAATTGCTAGATCTTTCCTGTGTTGTTTTGGAGGAAGAGGGGTAAAGGTTACAATGCATCCACGTCCTCGGCAACACTTCTTATTTAAACATGGGGTCTTGCTGAGCATATGGGGTCTTCTTGAGGTTTGGGGGGGGTCCCCATTCTGCTGTCTGGCTAGGTGTCTAGTCCACCGTCTGGAGAGTGTCCAGTCCTGTCCTGTCCTATGGGGTCCTGTCCTGTCTGCGATGAGTCCCACTCGGCCAAGTGTGTCTGAGACACTGCCCCACCTGACACCCTCGAAATCAGGTGCCCTGGCTTCTGGGTCCTTCAAGCAGAATCTGTGTGTGGGCAATGCATCACCACAAACCCAAGGACTGAGGAGGGGATAGAGCTGGGAAGCAGCTGCCCCTGCCCTGAGGACACACAGCCTCTGTCCAGACTAAAAATAACCACCGGATCCGCTGTAAGCTGATTGCGGCCATCTCAGCTGTGATGTCACACCGCTGGCTAGAGCCACTCCAGGGATGGCACTGTGCAGAGAGTGGCCACCCCTTGTCCACCGGTTCTGGAGGCTGGTATGGGGGTGGGGACTTTTGTGGGCCCCAGTAGATCTGATTCCAGGCAGGGCTTGGGGTGGTGAACAGCCCCTAGGCAGAAGCTCTGTGCCCAGTGGGCCCTGGGAGGGGTCCTGTCCCACTCAGCACCCAGCAAGCACAGGCAGGCAGACATGGCCAAGCTGCCTGCCTTGTCTCTGCTTCTGGTGTTGTGCTGAATCCCTCCTTTG